CGTTTGGGCTCGCGCTGGGGTTGGGAACCGCCAGGCGGGGGCCGCGGGGGCCGCGGGCGGGAGCCCTGGGGGCGGAGTGGGTGCGCCGGGTCTGGGAACGCCGTCGGCCAGCGGGGGCTTGCGTGTCTGGCTGAGCGGAGGTGATGCTGACGCCCCAGAACCGGGGGCTGGGTGAGGGCGGCGAGGGGGGGGCCCTCACCTTCAGGACCTCTGCCCATCGGTGGGGCCGCTCGGCCCACCCCGACGTCCGATGAGGTCACACGTGCTCTCCCTCTCTACTTGCTGAGACCAAGTGGTTCGGCTTGATGCAGGGTCTCCAGAAACTTGTTTTCCTGTGCTGGCTAGACAGCTCCTGGCTTTTCCAAGACCATTACTTACCCTTGGTCATCATCTGGCTTGGTCATCACCTGCCCTTGTTCACAGTCAGTCCCTGCGAGGCGGGGAGCCCTTGAGGGTCGGAGCCCGCGGTTTAGGGCTGTTGACCCGGCGCCTGCCATAGTGCCTGGCACAAGAGACACACAGATGAACTGACCAGGTGAAGGAAATGCTTGCTTAAAGCCTCAAAGACGGCACGTTCACCCAAGTAAGATAGATATGAAACATGTAGTGGCAGACTTGTAAAGAAAATGACTTTAGAGCACAGAAAAGGAGGGGACTAATTTTGTCTGGGCATAGCAGGAAGGGATCAAGGTGGGAGGGCGACAGTGTCCACAGAGGTGTGGAGATGAGAAAGTGCAGGGCACAGGGCTGGGCTTTGGGGCCCAGAGCATGGGAACTGTGCTCAACAGGTTGAGGGGTGGGATAGGGTGGGGAGAGTGGGACGGTGAGGGTAGTGTGAATGTCATGGCTAATTTTGTGCTCTCTGTGAGGGCTGTTGAAGGTTTTTTTTTTTTGAGTTGGAGTCTCACTCTGCCGCCCAGACTGGAGTGCAGTGGCCACTCCCGGCCACCGCAGCCTCGACCTGCTGGGCTCCGGCGATCCTTCTGCCTCAGCCTTCCAAGTAGCTGGAACTACAGGGGCGTGCTACCACTACCGGCTCATTTTTGATGTATTGTAGAGATGAGGTCTCGCTGCCCAGGCGGGTCTCGAACCCGCGGGCTCAGGCAATCCACTCACCTCAGCCTCCCAAAGGCACGGGATTACAAGCTGAGCCACGGAGCCCGGCTCCTTTGAAGGTTTTGAGCACAGTAGTGATTAACCCTGGGCTGGGTGGGAGGGTGAGCCGGGAGGTGGCTAGGAGGCTATGGCAGTGGTTTAGGTGAGAGGTCCAACTCCTCCATGGGCTGCAGTGACTGGTGGTTGTCACTGACTACAGGAGGTGGAAGTGAGTCATTAAACTAGGCATGAGTAGCTAATGAATGCTAATTTGGGCAAGTGCAGTTTAGATGTAGCAGAAAAGTGATTTTTTTTTGAGTAGGAGTCTTGCTCTGGTTTCCCAGGCTGGAGTATAGTGGCATGCTCACAGCCACCGTGGCCTTGACCTGTTGGGCTGAGGCGATCCTTCTGCCTCAGCCTTGCAAGTAGCTGGAATCACAGGCATGTACCACTGTGCCTGGATAATTTTTTGATTTATTGCCAAGTTGCCCAGGCTGGTCGTGAACCCCTGGGCCTCAGAGAGTCCCCTTGTCTCTGCCTCTCAAAGTTATGGGATTGCAGGTGTGGACCACTGCACCCAGCAGAAAAGTGAATTTAAATTAAAGAAATGGGCTGTAATCCCAGCACTTGGGAGGCTGAGGTAGGAGAATTGTTTGAGACCAACCTGAGAAGTGTAGTGAGACCCTGTTTCTACATAAAATATTAAAAATTTAACTGGGTGTGGTAGGTGAATGCCTGTAGTTCCAGCTAGTCGGGACGCTGAGGTGGGAGGATTGCTTGAGGCCAGGAAGTTTGAGGCTGCAGTGAGCTGGCCTTCTGCACTGTTCAGCCTGGGCAACAGAGTGAGATGCCGTCTCAAAAATACAAATAACATAAATTCAAGAAATGTTACTTCTCTGCTACCTGCCAGGTGTTATCATGAATATTAACTCATCATAAGCCTTCTGCAAGGTCAGAACAATCACCTGCAATTTCCAGAGAAGAAAACCCACGCATAGTGGTCGAATTTTGAGTATTGGGAGTGGGAAGCTCCTGGTTGACTGCAGGGGAGGATTTCCGGTTAGACTGGAGGTAGTCCCTTCAGTGCTCAGCATTGCAGAGGAACTAAAGGTGTAGTTTTCCGATGTATCAGCGAGGAGACAGAGAATTTGATAGAGTCGGTAACTAGATAGAAAGTTGTCAAGTACCTGAAAAGGCAGGAAGTATACGGGGAGGTGCCAATTGCAGGAAGCAGCTACCAGCCCTATGGCTGTGGGAACAAGGGCATGAGGTAGAAACGATGCAAGTTGGCTTAGAGGAGCGCTCTATACCACTTGTTGAAGGGGTGCTGCCCCAGCTGGTGTAGGGGTCTCTGAGTGAGAGGTCCTGGGACTCTGACCTCTGCAGAGGGGGTCCAGTGATGAGGCTGGCTCTGCACTTGTTGGCAAAACTGAAAATGACTCCGCGGCTCAGCCCTATGTCATTGAGGGGAGTATGGACGGGTGGGCAGAGCTGAGAGGTCAGAGTCAATCCTGGGCATATCCCTGGTACCCAAGTCCTTGGTCATTGTTTCTTCTTTCTGCAGGCTGGCTTTGCCACAGCTGACCACCCTGGTCAGGAGACAGAGACTAAGAAGGCCATGGATCGACGAGGCAAGTAGAGGGCAGAGATTGGGTTGGATGTGATGAAGTGATGAGAGGGACAGTCCCTAGGTCTTGTTTGCCTTCTCTTTCCAGCCTGTTCTCTTGCTGCCAAGTTGCCTTCTCTGCCCGGTGTTTCCTCAGTGCCCTCCTTTGGAAGCCCTGCTGGAGCTTCCTTAAGGGTTGTCCTGAGCTTTCTTGTGTCTAAACCCATCCCTTCCACTGAGAGAAACATCTTGGAGCAGCGAAAAGAACACAGCAGTCCTCTCATATCCCTGGGGAATATGTTCAAGACCCCAGTGGATGCCTGGAAGCTCAGTACCAGTATTATCTATTTTTTCCTATAAATACATACCTACGATAATGTTTAGTTTTTAAGGCGCAGTCAGAGATTCACAATAATACAAATAAAACAGAACAATTATAACAATATACTGTACTGTACTAAAAGTTATGTGACGCCAGGTGTGGTGGCTCATGCCTGTAATCCCAGTACTTTGGGAGACTGAGGTGGGAGGATTGCTTGAGTCCAGGAGTTCGAGACCAGCCTAGGCAACAAAGCAAGACCTTGTCTCTATAAGAAATAGAAAAATTAGCTGGGTGTGGTGGCCTTAGACAGTAGTCACAGTTACTTGGGAGGCTGAGGCAGGAGGATCACTTGAGTCGTAATCGTGCCACTACGCTCCAGCGTGGATGACAGAGTGAAACCCTGTCTCAAAAAAAAAAAGTTATGTGAATGTGGTCTCCCTTTCTTACTGTACTGTACCACAAGTAACCGAAACAATGGATAGCCAAGCTGTGGATGATGGGGGACTATATAGGCTTTGGGGCCAGGCAGAGTTGTTTTCAGTTTCATCTCTGAGTCAGAGTGTTCTGGGCTCAAGTTTTGTGGCCTTAAATAAGTCACTTAGCCTTTCCTCATCTTTAAAATGGGACAAGTACCTCCCCCATAGGGTTGTTCTGAAGTTTGGGTAAGAGGACTCAGAACCGTACTGTCTGGTACAATAGCCACTGAAGCTCTTTCGATTGAAGTTAATTATAATAAAGTAAAAGAATAAGAGTAATAAGAAATTCAGTTCCTTTTTTCCTGTGCTCAGTAGCCACATGTGGCTAGCACTTTGCTGTTGGACAGCACAAAATATAGAAAATTTCCTTCATTGCAGAAAGTTCTATTGGAGAGTGCTGGACTAGATCAAGCACACGATAGGTATATTCACAGCAACGAATGCTTATTGAGGACTTACTGTGTGCCAGGCACAGTTCTAAGTGTTTCTTTCTTTCTTTCTTTTTTTTCCTTTTCCTCTCCATTTTACAGATGAGGAAACTGAAGCACAAAATAGTTAGGTAAAATTTTTTTAAAATTGTGTTAAAAGACACATAAATGTACCATTTAGCCATTTTAAAGCATACAGTTCAGTGGCATTTAACACAGTGATAATGTTGTGCAACCATCACCACTGTCTAGTTCCAGAACACTTTCATCACCCCTGGAGGAAACCCTGTAACCACTGAATAGTCACTCTCCATTCCCTCTTCTCTGAGCCCCTGGCAACCACTAGTTTGCTTTCTGTCTCTGTGGATTTATCTATTCTGGATCTGCAAATGCGAACTGCCCATAAATGGAATCACACAGTGCAGCCTCTTGTGTCTGGCTTCTTTCTTTTAGCATTTCTAGGGTTCCTCCATGTTGTAGTGTGTATCAGTGCTTCGTTCCTTTTCATGGCTGAATAATTCCATCATATGAATATACCACATTTTATTTATCCATTCATCCATCCATTCATTCCCTGATGGACAGTGGGGGTTGTGGCTACCTTTTGGTGATTGTGAATAGTGCTGCTGTGAGCATCCTTGTTTTGTTTGAACGCCTGTTTTCAGTTCTTTTGTATATATTTTTAGGAGTGGGATTCCTAGATCATATGGTAATTCTGTGTTTATGTTATTGAGGGAACTAGTTAAATAACTTTTAGCACAGTCACATATTTAGTAGTTGGCAGACTGGGAATTAACCCAGATAATCTGGCTGCAGGCCCTGTGCCCTGAGCTATTACTTTATTGCTTATAGCTGTTGTTATTGTTATAGTATTAACAGCGTGACTGTTCTTAGGCTCATTCCTCTCCCCTCTCTGACCTGGCATCACCACAGCACTCTGCTCTCAAGGTCCATTATTCTTGCCCGGACTTTCTTCCACTGTTGTGAGACCCTTTTTTTTTTTTTTTTGAGTTGGGGTCTCATTCTGTTGCCCAGGCTGCAGTGGCACGATCACAACTCACTGCAGCCTCAACCTCCTAGGCTCAGGTGATCCTTCTACCTCAGCCTCCCAAGTAGCTGGGACTACAGGTATGCACCACCATACCTGGGTACTTTTTTTGATTTTTTTGGTAGAGACAAGGTCTCACTGTGTTGCCCAGGCTGATCTTGAACTCCTGGGCTCAAGCAATCCTCTTGTCTCAGTCTCTTGAAGTGCTGGAATTACAGACGTGAGACACCACTCCTGTATTGTGAGACTTTTTGACCTTTTGAAAATGTACCTCCCAGTCCTCCCTCGTGTCAGGAGACACATGGTGGCTGTCTGTTGTGACTAGAAGGGCTCTGCTCTTCTACCTGTGGCACCCATTGCTCCCCCTTGTCCCTGTGCTCACCTCTGGACATGCTTTTTGAGGCTGAAAGGAGGAAGAGAAGAGCAAAAGTTCAATTCAAGCTAGAATTGTGAAAGCATGTCATTTGCCAGAGGCCCTTTGCCTCAATGACATATAAACTCCCTGAAAGTGTAAACTGTTCCTGACTCTCTATGTAAATCACAGGACCTGGCAATTAGTGGCCTTGTGTGAGACAAAAGACCTCTTTTTTTTTTTTTGAGTCGGAGTCCCACTCCGTCACCCAGGCTGGAGTGCAGTGGCACGCTCATGGCCACCGCAGCCTCCACCTGCTGGGCTCAGGCGATCCTTCTGCCTCAGCCTTCCAAGTAGCTGGAACTACCACATGCACAACCACATCCAGCTAATTTTTTGATTCATTGTAGTGATGAGGTCTCGCATGTTACCCAGGCTGGTCTTGAACCCTCGGGCTCAGGCAGTCCTATCTCCTCAGCCTCCCAGAGTGCTGGGGTTAAAGGCGTAAGCCACTGCACCCAGTGTAGACAAAACATCTTATTCAGAATAAATGATCAATCCTTCTTCTAAAATCATAAGCAGAACAACATTTTACACGGTGCTCAAGTGGCTGCAGAGCTCTGTCTCCTTGTTTTGCTGCCCTGTTAGTTTGTCGAACATTTCCCTAGCACATGAGCAGACCCTTTCTAGTTGATCCCGTGTTTTAAGACCATCTTTCTTTTGCTGACGTCTTAGCCAGTGGAGCACAGAGCATCCCTACCGACAGTCCCACCAATGGCGAGGACGTCCATGCTGGAGAGGAAGGTTTTACTGTGGATGATGAGGATTCTGATGGAGAGGTGAATACCTGGGAGCTGTCAGAAGGGACAGACTGTCCATCCAAGGAACAGACTGGCGATCTTTTTCATGAGGACTGGGACTTGGAGTTGAAAGCAGACCAAGGGAATCCATACGGTAGGTGTGGCGTTTCTAGGGTCCTAGACCAGGTCTTCTCAGGCCCTCCTTCCATTCTATACCTGGAGGCAGACAGTTTGGAAAAGGGGTCTGCACCTATGAACTTAACCTGATAACTGTTATGGGTCTGCAGTCTCTTTAACAGCTTCTCTTCTATAGTGAAAACAAAAACGCCAAATTTTGCATTTGGATCCATAATGTATTTCTTTGCTTTAATATTGAAACAGTGTTAGCCTCTCAAAAAATAAAAAAAAAAAATAAATAAAATAAATAAATAGAGATGGGGACTTGCTACGTAGCCCAGGCTGGTCTCAAACTCCTGGCCTCAAATGATCCTGCCTTGCCTCTCAAAGTGCTAGAATTACAGGCTTGAGCCACTGTACCCAGCCACTCCAAAAGTCTGCTATGAATTGAGCAGCTGCAGATAAGTGCTGTTTTATCCAGTTACCTTCCCCTTCGCTGCTAAGAACCCTTATCTGAGAAGCTGCAGGTTGTTCAGGATGAGCATGTTTGTAGTTCTTCAGGAAAGCAGGACTGTGTGAGTTTTTAAACAAAATAAGTGCAAGTATTGGTCCCCTAGATACATTTTGTTGGCTGTTTTTACCTTCCTTCCCTTAACCTGAATTTCAAAACTGCCTGCAGATGCTGACGATATCCAGGAGAGCATTTCTCAAGAGATCAGACCCTGGGTGTGCTGTGCCGCACAAGGAGACATGATCTATGACCCCAGTTGGCACCATCCTCCTCCACTGATACCCCATTATTCCAAGATGGTTTTTGAAACGGGACAGTTTGATGACGCTGAAGATTGAGTGTGGTGCTTTCAGCCTCTGGGTGGGTGGCCCCTCCAGGCCAAGGTCTCTTTTCCTGTCTTTGAGGTGAGATGTCATACCTGAGAACGTGTTCCCAGGGATCCCTGAGTCTGGGGTACACAGACTGATGTTTGATATGGCCCTGCTGTACTCCCAGTTCTGTCCTTTGTTGTTTTTAATGGGTTCCTCCTTGGAACATGTGAGTGTTCTTGTCTGTGTCAAGAGGAGTTGTGTTCTTTATAAATAAAGGTAGAAAAATAAATCAGTATGCTTTGTCTGCTTTTTTCCCTTTTACTTAGGTGCTTCTGAGCAGCACTGTATTCCTTCATTTAAAGTCCCTGAATTACATTTTAAGGATTCAAGCATTTGGAATCTTAAAACTACTCTGTGAAAGAAAAAAAATTAGTTTTGCTTCTGTAGATCTGGCACTATTGACCAGGGATTGGAATCCAGGAAACCCTGGTGACTTTGTGACTGATTTCTATTCCTGGTGATGGAAAAGCTGAACATTTACTTAGTTAACAAAGGCTTTCCATAGATTTATAAATGCAAATTAATTAAACCAGTAATTGTGTAACCCTTAATTGACATGAAACTTTATTTTCTGTTTAATCTTTTTTTTTTTTTTTTTTTTGAGTCAGAGACTCACTCTGTCACCCAGGCTGGAGTGCAGTGGTACACTTATTGCCATCGTAGCCTCGACATGTTGGGCTCAGGCGAGCCTTTCACCTCAGACTCACAAAGTGCTGGGATTACAGGTATGAGCCACCATGCCTGGCTTGTTTAATCTTTTAATCAGAATAATTACTTATATGAAGTTATGTTTTGGAATTAACTCATTTTAGAGATGAAGGTAAAACTCATTTTTTTTGTTTTAAGTTGGGGTCTTATTCTGTCACCTAGGCTGGAGTGCAGTGGCATGATTACGATGATCACAGCTCATGGCAGCCTTGACCATCCTGGGCTCAAGCAATCCCTCCACCTCAGCCCCTCGAGCAGCTGGGGTACAGGCATGCACCACCATGCCACCTAATTTTAAAATTTTTTTCTGTAGAGAGGAGGTCTTGCTATGTTGCCCCGGCTGGTCTTGAAAGCCTGGGCTCAAGCAGTCCCCCTGCCTCGGCCTCCCAAAATACTAGGATTACAGGCATGAGCCATTGCACCTGGCAAGACTCAAAATATTTTGACCTCTTCAAGATCACACAGTGGCAGAACTGGGACCTAGATGCACACAGGACTCTAAGATCCGTTCTCTTAGTTGGCCCTGCGGATTTAACAACATAACCATGAGGTATGGGACCACCAGAGTAAGTCATCTTTGTCCCCTTGACAGGCTCTGGGATTGTTTCTTACCTCCCGTCCTCCTTATTGAAGCTAAATGAAGAAAAGCTTTCAGATCCGAAATCTGAGAACACTCCATAGTGGTTGATTGAGCATTTGACCATGTAAACTTTTTCAAAGACCCTACAAACTGTATGAACTAGGCAGAACCTTTTGAGAGAAGGCAGTAGCCTTGGCTGTCCTAGGGGGAGAAAAATACCCCTTCCATAGTCTTTGCCAAAAGGGCAGTTGTAGATTTTATCACCACACCCCTCTTTCTTTCCTCTTCCTCCTTCCAAAGTCACAGTTGATGAGACCATGAATATGTCTGGCATGAAAAGGTAAACCTGAGAAACCGAGCCAAGAGATGTGAGGGGCTTGTGGAGGATGGCACAGTTGCTGAAATGGAAAGGCCGTGTTGTTTCGAGGTTGGGGTGTGTGTGTGTAAGCTGGAGTTACGAGGCGCTGAAACCATGAGCAAAGGCGGAAGTTGTGAGGTGGGAGATGCATGTGTGGTGGCACAGAGGGAGTGGAGAAAAAACAGACTGAAAAGCATATGTGCCTGAGTAGCTAAGTAAAGAAAATTCACAAGTCGCTGCTGTGAGCTACGGAAGAGTTGTGAATCTAGGACTCTCTTGCTTTTTACAAGTTGATCTTTGTGGTTCCTCTTTCTTGTTATTTCCAGTAAAGTGGGTAAAAGAGGGAAATAGAGCTTACTGGAGTAAGGAGGTAGAAAACAATATTCTCTTAAGACATTAGAATGGTTTTTATGACTGAAAGTTGGGTGTGTCAGGAGAACAAGAAAAGAGGAGGGGAGTGAGTCAGTTGTTCTGATTTCAGTGTTGTGCTGGTCTTCCTCATGGGATGATTCAAGCACAGAGAAAGATGCAGAGTGTAACCGTTATCTCAGGGAGGTGAGATGGGACTACGAAAAAAAGTAGTGAAATGGAGAAATACTAACAATATAATGTGTGAAAATGTGGACTCCAAAAAGACTGATAATGCACATATGAAATAATTACATATAGAAATGATAAGGACTACAAGGTAATTTGATTAGACAATGGAAGTGTAGGCAATTTTACTTTTATATGTTTGTTATTGTAATTTAGATTTTGCAATTAGGTATTGAAATTAAAGACAAGTTGTTATTCTCTTTTTTTTGGAGTTCGAGTCTCAGTCTGTTGCCCAGGCTAGAGTGCAGTGATACATCATGGCCACCGCAGCCTCATCCTGCTGGGCTCAGGTGATCCTTCCTCCTCAGCCTTCCAAACAGCTGGAGCTACAGGTGTGCACCACCTCATGCTGCTAATTTTTTGATTTATTGTGGAGACGAGGTCGCGCCAGACTGGTCTCAAGCCCCTGAGCTCAGGCAATCCTCTTGCCTCTGCCTCTCAAAGTGCTAGGAGTACAGGCGTGAACCACTGTACCTGGCCAAGATGTTATTCTTTTTTTTCTTTTCTTTAAAACAATTTTTTTTTGAGTTGGAGTCTTACTCTGTCGCCCAGGCTGTAGTGCAGTGGCGTACTCACGGCCACCCCAGCCCACAACCAACTGGGCTCCAGCGATCCTTCTGCCTCAGCCTTCCAAGTAGCTGGAACTACAGGTGCGTGCTTCCATGCCTGGCTAATTTTTTATTTATTGTGGAGACGAGATCTCGCCAAGTTGTCTAGGCTGGTCTCGAACCTGTGGGCTCAGGCAATCCACTCGCCTTGGCCTCCCAAAGTGCTGGGATTATAGGTTGAGCCACTGAGCCTGGTCAAAATTTTTTATTTTAAAGATGTGGGATGCAATTAAGGGTTAGGTATACAAATGTTCATTATGCAGGTACCCTTGTTGATGAGGTATGCTCTCTACCCTGGCAGGTTCCCACTACTGCCAATTCTTTTCTTATAGTATTATGATAATTGTTCAAGGTCCACTTATGAGTGAGAACATGTGATACTCAGTTCTCTGTTTCTGTGATAGATCACTCAGTGTTATAGACTCTAAGTCCATAAGATGTTTTTAAGTTATGTCCTCTGTCTAGTCTTCTCTGTTCTCTCTGACAAGCGTCACAACATTTGTGTCACTCTGCTACAGTCACTGGTTTATGAGTCTGCCTCTCCTTGTAGGCTAAGGGCACTTTGAGGGCAGGACCATGACTTACTCCTCAATGCCCCTGTTTCACAGCGTGGGGCCCAACATGAAAATATTCAGTCAATACTGGCACACATCCATTTACCTTCAGCAATGGTGCAGTATTTGCCTTGGCTGTATTTCGGGTTGATTGATAACATCCCAGGCTAATGATGAAAAAAGAACAAGGTATTTGAAGAATCTTTAAAAAGTCTTTGTGTTAGGCCAGGTACGGTGGTTCAAACCTGTAATCCTAGCACTTTGGGAGACCAAGGTGAGGGGATTGCCTGAGCCCACGGGTTTAAGAATAGCCTGGGCAACTTGGTGAGACCTCATCTCTGTAATAAAAAAAATAAAAATTAGTCGGGTATGGTAGTGCGTGCCTGTAGTTCCGGCTACTTGGAAAGCTGAGGTGGAAGGATCGCCTGAGCCCAGCAGGTCAACACTGGGGTGGCCATGAGTGTGCTACCGCACTTCAGTCTGGGCGATGGAGTGGGACTCAAACTCAAAAAAAAAAAAAGTATTTGTGTTAAATCTAAATCTGATTAGGATTTAATTAGGGTTCCTTATCTATTAACTTCCTTTTTTTAAAATTTGAAATCTCACCCTGTTGCCCAGGCTGGAATGCAGAGGCACACTCATGGCCACCGCAGCCTCGACCTGCTGGGCTCATGCGATCCTTTATCCTCAGCCTTCTAAATAACTGGAACTACAAGTGTGTGCCACCACCCTGGCTAAATTTGTGATTTATTATGGAGATGTGTTCTCGCCTAGTTGCTCAGACTGGTCTCAAACCCCTGGACTCAGGTAATCCTCTTGCCTTCACCTCCCAAAGCGTTTGAGATTATAGGCATGAGCCACCATTTTTTATTTATTTTTTTGAGTCAGAATCTCACTCTGTCACCCAGGCTGGATTGCAGTGGCACACTCACGGCCACTGCAACCTCGACCTGCTGGGCTCAGGCGATCCTTCCGCCTC